TTAGCCCTGGCTGTTGCAGATGGGCTAACGTTAGCCCTGGCTGTTGCAGATGGGCTAACATTAGCCCTGGCTGTTGCAGATGGGCTAACATCAGCCCTGGCTGTTGCAGATTAGCTAACATTAGCCCTGGCTGTTGCAGATAGGCTAACGTTAGCCCTGGCTGTTGCAGATGGGCTAACGTTAGCCCTGGCTGTTGCAGATGGGCTAACATTAGCCCTGGCTGTTGCAGATGGGCTAACATCAGCCCTGGCTGTTGCAGACGGGCTAACGACAGCCCTGGCTGTTGCAGACGGGCTAACGTCAGCCCTGGCTGTCGCAGATGGGCTAACATCAGCCCTGGCTGTTGCAGATGGGCTAACCTTAGCCCTGGCTGCTGCAGACAGGCTAACGTTAGCCCTGTCTGGCACAGACTGGCAAACGTTAGGCCTGGCTGCTGCAGATGAGCTAACGTTAGCCCTGGCTCTGATGCATGCTGGGTAAAGATGGAGGGGCGAGAACAGGATCTGGGGACTTGTCTGTTCTGCGTCATCTTGTTCCTCTTCTTGTGAATTGGAACAGTGCGAGGACTGAGGTTGATAACATTTCACGAGGACACGAGAAAACACAAGTACACATTATGAGAAACGACCTCTGTCTCCTCTGTGGCTCCACTCACATCCAGGTGTTCATGGAGTTTCACTTTTTCTTCTCACTCTACAGCTAATTCTGTTCAGCTTTCTTTATAGGTCACCTCATTAAAACAAATCGAATCTGAGGGCATTTCTGACGCCAAGTTTACCTCTAATTCTGTTTGTCCCAGAATAGAAAAGAATCATTTTCTGCAGCCCTATCCCATTAGCTGTCCACAGTCCTACACTTTCCTTAAACAAATTCTATGATCACTTTATATTATTTTCTGATTTTACTGTGAAAGGGCAAGCTTCCACTGATACCACAGTTGTTTAATAGAGCAACATCATTGTTTATAAAACCAATATAAACATGAAGGTCCAAACGGAACAAATTCAGAACATGAATTTGTTCCGTTTGCTTTTATTTGAGCTCTGCGCTGACCTTCTCTCACCTTTTTCACCCCTCAGTATGTCCCAGGTATGTGTCCATGGTCAGTCGTGGAGGACCGGTGTCCTGCACGGATCCCTGATGCTGAAAGATACTGAATGCTAACAGTTCTGCAGCTTTTTCTGACACGGTCTCCTGCTTTTTCTCCCCATTTCAGGAAATTTCACTCTGCAAACTACACATCAATCAATCAGCTGTGAGGAAGGCTTGAATGCATCTCGTTGAAAATCTTCCCCATAAGGCTTGAAAATCCTAATTATTCTTATTTTGAATGAATGTTGATCATTCTCTCTGGTTTCCATTTTCTTCTGAAGGTATGAGTGTATTTATCTCTGAAATAAACATGATAAAAATGATCCGTTAATTATTTCTTCAATTCTTATCCAGAGGTGGTCCTTCAGTGAACAGCATGATGTCATCAGGCAGACTTTAGAAGCTCCTCCCCTTGCATCTCTGTGGGCTTTTCCTTCATCTCAGTGACGATTAGATTAGAAACAGAAAAACATCCCTGATGCTGATAAAAGGTTGAACATTTCTTTCTAACAAGGCGGCTTTTTATGAGCAGCAACAAAATGATCTTTTACCAAGTAACATATTTATTTCCTGTTTCTCAAAGGAAAATCATTTTAAAGGATGGAAAGAAATTTTCTCCATTCTTTTGTAAACAAACTGCTTTTTTTATTACCATCGCAGTTGTTTTTTAAATGGCCTTTTGATGTAACTAATATTGTGTTATTAATCATAGTTATAATCACCTGCACAGTTGGTGTTTTGTTTTTTACTATATGTCTTACTTTATTTTGCTCTTATTTTGCACTCAGATACCTTAAATACAAAGAAGAAAATAAAAGGGACAAAACATGAAACATAATGGGGGTTTCAGGGGGCCAGCAGGGGCCAGTGCCTGGTCCTGGCCCCTGTACAGAAGAGATAACACTAAAAAAAGATATAATAATGATTATCTAACGACAATATTCCAATGACGATAATCTAATGACAATAATGTGATAATTATAATCTAATAATGATAATCTTGCAACGACAATCTAATAATGATAATCTAACGACAATAATCTAATGACAATAATGCAATAATTAGACTTTAGACCTTAGACAGATTTTATTTGTCATTTTGTTTACACAAGTGTAAAACAAAAAGAAATTTCATTTGGAAATAGCTCACTGGACAATTTCATCTTTTTAAAAGTACATCCTTGATAAACAGTAAAAATAACTAAATTTACCGTTCTAACATTTTATATATATATATATATATATATATATATATATATATATATATATATATATATATATATATATATATATATATATATATATATATATATATATATATATATATATATATATATATATATAGATCAATCAAATCAAATCACCCCCATATATGTGTATATGGGGGTGAGGGGTCATTGATGATGTCACGGGCTCAGGACATGCAGCGCTGGGATGAAATGTCTTTAATGGAGGGAAGAGGAGCCCCCATGATCCTCTCTGCTGTTCTCACCTTCTTCCAGTCTGAGGCGCTGCAGCCTCCACACCACACAGTGAGACAGCTGGTCAGAACGCTCTCTATGGGGCTTCTGGAGAAGGTGGGGAGGATGGGGGGGAGGCAGGTGGGCTCTCCTCATCCACCGCAGGAAGTCAAAGCGCTTCTGGGCCCTTTGGACCAGTGAGGTGGTGTTTCCAGTCCAGGTGAGGGTGTCTGTGATGTGCATTGCCAGGAATTTGGTGCTGCTGACCACCTCTACAGCTGAGCTGTTGATGAGCAGTGGAGCGTGGTTAGGACGGTTCTTCCTGAAGTCCACCATGATCTCCTTCATCTTCTCCACCTTTAGGATCAGGCTGTTATCTCTGCACCACCAGCTGCTCCTCCTCCTCTCTGTAGTCCAGGTCGTTGTCATCTCTGATGAGGCCCACCACCAATAATGATAATCTAATAATGATAATGACGATAATCTAATAATGATAATCTAATGATGATAATGCAATGATGAGCATCTAATAATGATAATCTAATGATGATATGTGCTGGAGCAGACATAGTGACTGAAAGGTTCTCTGGACCCATTTCTTTTTTCTCTCTCTCTCTTTCAAATCTGCTTTGAAACTGAAGGCGATGGTGATGAGACAGGATAACAGTGAGCATCTGATTTGATAAAAAAAAACAATAATTTTCATTGAAAATATGTATAAATATGTATTATTCTTGAATTATGAATTTTCATTTTTTATCTTTTAGTGTGTATATAACGAAATATAAATACATTTAAGTCACCTTTTCAAGGTAATATTCTTTTTTTACTTTTAGATTAATACAATTTTTTAAAGAAAATATAAGTTTTCAGTTGTAACAGCATCAAGTTTTAACTAAACTAAATGAAATGGAAATTTCATTCATTTTAGTGCTTTCCGGGTAAAAGTAAAAAGTAGGTGAGAAGAGCATCTTTTCATTGGACGATCTTTGCAACGGCTACATTTTTTCCCCACAATCCTCAGCGGTAGAGCGTTTATATAGGTTGGTAGAGCATCCGGTCTGTCTCTCTCTGCTGGGCGGACCGGTACAGCAGCCATGGGCCGCTCCACGCGGTGCAGGTATAAACTGTAATTTCCAGCTGTATAAAATAATTTAACTGTTAAAAAACTCTCGCGAGACTTTGAAGGAGCGGTTGTTTGCGCGTTTTGTTTTCTGGATAATGATGTTAGAAAAATCTCCGGCAGAAAGAGGCTTTTGTTCAAACCCGGATCATGGCGCGCCTCCATGGATCCATGCTAACATTAAACCGATGGTTCAGTCAGTCTCTGGTCCATTAGAGCCCTCCTGGAAGCACGAGGCTGGAATTAGCTTCCGGTATTGGCCTCATATTCAACCGAAGTCTAAAGGTTGATCTTTAATGTGGGTCAGATTACAATCCGAACTGGTTAAACTTTATTCTGTAGTTTCTGAACCATTAGCAGAACGTTTCCATGTCTGGATGGTTCTGTCTAGAAATTGACCCGTTCTGCTGTTTAAGATAATTTCCCACTGAAGAAGTCTTCTAAATTAGATTGAGATTAAAATGTTTTTCTGTTAATCTGTCTTAATTTAACACTTTTTTTTTTTATTAATGAGAGCAGATTGACTTTAAACAAAGATCAGCTTCAACCTGAACCACTGATGGTTTGTTTTCAATGACCTGATTGGGATTATTAGTTTGAATTATTTTCAGGAAGTTAATTTAAATTGTGAAATTTGTTCTTGGAGCAGAAATCTGATTCCTTAGTAGTTTTAAATGTGAAGTAGTTTTACAGCTAGGTGTGGAGCCTCATTAATCTGTCCTGATGGGATTATCCAGGGTGTTGGCAATCTGCCCTACTGGACCCTTAAAACCCCATTAATCCATTTAACCTGTCAGGGGCTGGGCAGTCTAGCATGTCTGTAGCTATAATTTGGGATTATTGAGGATAAATGTGGGCAGTTTTCCCACCAGGAGGTATCAGGCAGAGCAGTTCCTGCTTCATGCAGAGAGGGGGCAGCAGAGAGCCTGGTCCAGATGTAAAATGTTTCATTTTATTCCAGTAAACTATTCTCATTGGTTGATGGAAGATGGAAACAGCAAAACAGCCAGTTGAGGTTTCAGTATCTAATAGCTAATTAGCTGCTGGAGGAGACGATGCTCTGTTTGAAGGATAAGTCTCATTGCTGAAGGTCTGAGGAGCTACAGCTCTCTGACGGGGCTCGCCTTCCGCCTCCCTCCTCTTTAACCCGGCTGTCTTCTCTGCTCCAGGCGAGCCTGTTGCTCTGAAGGCCAGATGCTGCTCCTCTTCCTCGCTGCGTTCATCAGAGCAGGAGCTGTACTGACTTGATCCTCAGAATGGAACCAGAAGAAGAGCCCTGACCTACAGGACCTGAGGTAGGTTTCAGATTAACACCCCATAACGCCCCCAGCTCTAAGTCAGCTGACCAGCCCTGATGGCTGGCTCGGTGTTACAGGGCTGGCAGAGGAAGCCTCTGCATGCGCTCTCAGCGGCGCCGCCTCTGTTTTAGAGGAAGCTGCTGCTGAGATTCTGCAGAGCTCGGTCCAAAGAGAGTGGCCCGCCCCGGTCCGTCTGCAGGGTGGGCCTAGTAGAGGACCGTACAGCCAACCACAGAGCGCCGTTGGAGGCGGTGGCAGCAGGATGATGATGATTATCTTTGCTGAAATAATTGATCAGGATTATTGGAATAATAAACTCATTAGTCAATAAATGGCTATTCTGGGCTAAACATTTAGAAATGTTAATTTACTGCAACGATCTGAAGATAAATCAATTAATTAGTAAAGTGGCTGCAGAGCTAGTTTATAGAACTGCTTCCTAATGTTTTCATACAGGCAGTAATGACGCATATCCACTGATTACTGCCCCCTGCTGGACACTTAAAGTCACTACAGGCAGCCTCTGACCTGATTGATGACCTGTAATATGATTTAATCCATCGTTTGTTTTTTAGAATTGATATCTTATACCTTTGTTTAAATTGAAAATGTTTGTTTTTTTGTTTCAATACATAAATGTGAAAATTTAACAGGGAAATTTAAGTGAACATGTAAATAAAGACGTTTGTGTATTTAACAAAAAACACTAAGATTTAATTTGAATTTACATAATTTGATTCATTTTCATTCTTGTTGTTTCATCCTCTTCCTTTCAGATAAACCTTTTGCCTTCAGCCTCCGTATTCCTTTAATTTGGTGATTAAACCACAAAATATCAGATTTTTTTTTTGATGGATGAGCTTATTAACATTTTATTGTCAGCCAGTTCATAAAGGCTGTATCGGTCATGTGACCTTTAAGTGTTACGGGCAGCAGCGCTGCTGGATGCATCACTATTGTCTAACATCCTGTGAAATGAGATCAGTGCTGCTATAGCAGAGATGAACAGGTTGTTGGAAGTTGTAATGAAGTCGTAATGAAGGCTTCTGTGTTGTAGGCGGAGCCTCTGATGCGTCCTGTTCTCCTGCTTCCTGCCGCTGTCTTCCAGAAGGTGAGTCTGAATAATGTTGTGGGTGACCTTAATCAGGGCGGTCTGCTGTGATGCCTGAATAAAACACATTATGCTGACTAAAGCCGTGGTGAGAGACGACCCTGAGCAGGACGGCCTGGCAGCAGATCATGACCTCAGGCTGGCGAGTAGATCACTGATGGCCTCTTTCTGCTGCAGACAGGAGGAGCGGCGCCGGCCAGGAGGAGGCGGGGTGGCCAGGGGGCTGGCAAGAGGAGGAGCGGCGGCTCAGGTGGCGCTCAGACTGACAGGTAGTGGATGTTTGAATAAAAAAGCCCAATCCTGTACTGCCATGGCAGAGGCGCCTCATCTCTGCTGTGGAATCGTGACGTTGGGAGAGAAACTCAGGACTTGGCACAGGTTCAGTAAAACCAGTTTACCAGAACCTGACTGAAGACCTGAAACATCTGGATAGGAAGAGCCTCTGAATCCATTGGAAGGGAGGGATTAACGGTGTGTTTGCTCTGCCAGCAGGCCCACCTGATGAAGATCCCTGCAGCGTCGGACGTAGAGCCGGACCTCTGGTTCTGAAGGGTTTCCTGATGAACATCCTGCACTTCCAGAAATACAATCTGCTGTTGAATGAATTTCCTGAGTAAATAAAGGCGGATTTTTGCTTTATGAACTCATGTTGCTGCTCGTTTCTTTACTGGATGAGGTTGGAACTAGAAGCATCTGATTCTTTAACTTTGGCTGAAGTGTGAAATAACACCCTCAGTTCAACTGGGCACATCATGCTTCCTCTGGAAGGTTTAGAGCAGGGGAGTCAAAGGGGTTCCAGGAAGGGCTGCATGGCTGCAGGGTTTCTTTCCAACCAAGCAATAGCACCAGACTGTTTCATCAAGTCAGTCCAACCCTAACATGAGGTGAAAGGAGTCTGGCTTAAACCTGCAGCCATGCGGCCCTTTCTGGAACCACTTTGACATCCCAGGTTTAGGACTAAACATTTGTCACGTTTTCACAGCCCTGGACCACCAAGCTGGACTCCCAACTTGGCGAGGCTGGTCACCATGGTAACGTCCTCTGAACCTGCAGGCTAGCTTTCAGATGATCTGAACGTTTAAACTTGTAAAGCTATCAGCAAATATTACAATGTTCCACAATACTTGACGCACAAAGTTGTTGTGTAGACTGCATTGGGTGAAAAATTTAGAATATATGTAGTTGAAAGCTGTGTAAAAAGAATTAAAGTTGACCTGTGGAGTCTATTCCTTATTAAAGTTAAAAATGTAAAGTTATGTTCCAATCAGCTGGTAGAAACTGACATTACTTTTGAAGAACTACAGGTAACAGCCAGTAAATTAGAATATCTTGAAAAACTTGATTTATTTCAGTACTTGCATTCAAAAGGTGTAACTTGTACATTATATTCATTGCACACAGACTGATGCATTCAAATGCTTGTTTTATTTAATTTTGATGATTTGAAGTGGCAACAAATGAAAATCCAAAATTCCGTGTCACAAAATTAGAATATTGTGTAAGGGTTAAATTTTGAAGACACCTGGTGCCACAAACTAATCGGCTGATTAACTCAAAACACCTGCAAAGGGCTTTAAATGGTCTCAGTCAAGTTCTGAAGCCTACAAAAACATGGGGAAGACTTCAGATTTGACAGCTGTCCAAAAGGCGACCATCGACACATTGCACAAGGAGGGAAAGACACAAAAGGTTATTGCTGAAGAGGCTGGCTGTTCTCAGAGCTCTGTGTCCAAACACATTAATAGAGAGGCAAAGGGAAGGAAAAACTGTGGTCAGAAAAAGTGTACAAGCGATAGGGATCACCGCGCCCTGGTCAAGATTATGAAAAAAAAAAACATTCAAAAATGTGGGGGAGATTCACAAGGAGTGGACAGCTGCTGGAGTCAGTGCTTCAAGAGACGCTTGAAAGACATGGGTTTCAACTGCCGCATACCTCGTGTCAAGCCACTGTTGACCAAGAAACTGACTGCTGATGAGTGGTCCAAAGTCATGTTTTCTGACCAAAGCAAATTTAGCATTTCCTTTGGAAATCGAGGTCCCAGAGTCTGGAGGAAGACAGGAGAGGCACAGGATCCACGTTGCCTGAAGTCTAGTGTAAAGTTTCCACCATCAGTGATGGTTTGGGGTGCCATGTCATCTGCTGGTGTTGGTCCACTCTGTTTCCTGAGATCCAGGGTCAACGCAGCAGTCTACCAGCAAGTTTTAGAGCACTTCATGCTTCCTGCTGCTGACCTGCTCTATGGAGATTTCAGGTTCCAACAGGACTTGGCGCCTGCACACAGCGCAAAATCTACCCGTGCCTGGTTTACGGACCATGGTATTTCTGTTCTAAATTGGCCAGCCAACTCCCCTGACCTTAGCCCCATAGAAATGCTGTGGGGTATTGTGAAAAAGAAGATGCAGAATGCCAGACCCAAAAACGCAGAAGAGTTGAAGGCCACTATCAGAGCAACCTGGGCTCTGATAGTGGCTCCATGCCACTATCAGAAAACCCCATTACAGTTTGAGATGGATTTTGAGTTTGAAAACAAAAGTTTAAATGAGAGAATTTTATGAAATTGACTTTTGACTAATTTAGAGAAATTGGAATGTTTTCGGACCAATTCACAATGCAAATCCATGAGGTGAAAAAAGCCAGCTAGAGTTAAGCAGCCTGGCCTGGGTGCTGAACAGCAGCCTGGACAGACCACAGCCCTGATCTAATGCAGCCTGTCCAGGTGTCACTTTATTTAGCCCTGCACTTTAAGCAAATATTTGCACATAACAGTTTGCACACAAGGTTTTTAAAATATTTATTGTGTATTTTAATAGTTAGCATGTAGCCTTTTGCTCCAGGCTCTCCACAGCTGCTCTCCATTAGTAATTGAGGTGGTTGTCTGTGGAAAAGAGAATTGATGTTTAGAGCAAGCAAAGGTTACTGTTTATAAACTTCAGCAAATATCAGTGTAAAGTCTGTTAGAAGTGAGTGTGAAGGAAGTGTTTTGGTGCTAGGAAAGTGACTTACCTGTCTTTTCTGTGTCCTCTCCAGGGTGTTTGGACAAAGGCTTCCCGGGGGTCCAGACACCATTTATAAGTTCTGGGAGAGACCATGGAAAATAATGGGGGAGTTGTGCACATAGTTTGTGGGATTTCTATAGTGTTTGGGTGTAAGTTAAATCAGAAAAAGTCTATAAAAAATAACCTTAAGTGTGTGTTTGTAGATGGAAGTGAGGAGTTAATTTTAATGTAAATGGTTTAGTCCATCAGCTGTGTCTATTTAAGCCAGAGATTGTGTTTCATATAGACTGAATGCTGTGAAGCCAAATAAACCTGCAGATGCCTCAACTTCATTCTGCCTGATAAGTTCATTTTCTCACTGAAAATCCAGCCGAGAGGTCGCCTGTTTACACCACTGCCCTGGTCTAATACAGCCTGTCCAGGTGTCCACAGCCCTGATCTAATACAGCCTGTCCAGGTGTCCACAGCCCTGATCTAATACAGCCTGTCCAGGTGTCCACAGCCCTGTTCTAATGCAGCCTCCCCTGGTGTCCACTTCCCGGATCTAATACAGCCTGTCCAGGTGTCCACTTCCCTGATCTAATACAGCCTGTCCAGGTGTCCACTTCCCTGATTTAATACAGCCTGTCCAGGTGTCCACAGCCCTGATCTAATACAGCCTGTCCAGGTGTCCACAGCCCTGATCTAATACAGCCTGTCCAGGTGTCCACAGCCCTGATCTAATACAGTCTGTCCAGGTGTCCACAGCCCTGTTCTAATGCAGCCTCCCCAGGTGTCCACTTCCCTGATCTAATACAGCCTGTCCAGGTGTCCACTTCCCTGGTCTAATACAGCCTGTCCAGGTGTCCACAGCCCTGATCTAATACAGCCTGTCCAGGTGTCCACTTCCCTGGTCTAATACAGCCTGTCCAGGTGTCCACTTCCCTGGTCTAATACAGCCTGTCCAGGTGTCCACAGCCCTGTTCTAATGCAGCCTCCCCAGGTGTCCACTTCCCTGATCTAATACAGCCTGTCCAGGTGTCCACAGCCCTGTTCTAATGCAGCCTCCCCAGGTGTCCACTTCCCTGATCTAATACAGCCTGTCCAGGTGTCCACTTCCCTGGTCTAATACAGCCTGT